CGCCTCTGGTTACGGTCACAACATATAAGTGCACAACTACGTCTTATCCCATGATGGTAAAAATATTTAAANTTAACAAATATACTAAAATTAATATTATAGTTAAAAGATTTAATTTATTCACGGTTATCCCTTGCGATTTTTATTTTTTAAATACACAATAAGCAAACAAATATCATTTTTTGCTTATTTTACGTTTATTTTCAGAATTAACTTTCAGTGCAAAACTATTAGCTTTAGATTGAACATAAATTGAATATTTTTAATTAATTACAAAAAAATTTAAATCATATTACCAATTTTCTTCTACAATCGCAAAAGATGGAGTTTCGTCAACTTAGGTTTGATGGGGTTTGGGGGAAAGAAATTAAAAAAAGCAAAGGCACTTAAAAAGAAAAGAAAATATGAAAAAGACCATTTATTTTTGGAGCCGAATGAGCCACGATATTGGGGAAGAAAACAGAAAGAGAAAGAAGAAAAATTAAAATGAAGCAAATAAAATTAAAAGAAGAATACAAGTACTGAAGGGATTATTAATATCAAAATGGAAAAAATATTTTCAGGGATGCGATTCTGGACTGTTCCATCTAGAGATCTCTCAAGTGCACTTTCTAACCAAAGCACCCACCTGCTTATTTTGTTCCTGGATGCTTACTAAAATTATTTGTTAATTTAATACTAATTGTTTACATAAAACAGTGGTTCCGCACCAAAAGCAATGGGTGCTAGAGCACCCATATGGCTCCACGTGCATCCGCCCATGCCAACAACAGCAGAAGAAAGAAGAAGAAGAAGAAACGAAAGAGGAGAATGAGGAAGAGAAAAATGGCTGAAGTTGTTTAAAAAGTGGGTACAAATTAAAACTTTTAAAAAAAATAAGTATAGATTAAATGGGAGCGACCAAATAAAATACCCCATGCAATTTTTACCTCTTTATTTGTTCTAGATATTACCAAACTTTACCTAATCATAATACATTACACTAAAATAGGAGCTGTGGCAGATTAAAAAAGCATTTAAAGATTTAGGATTGGTTTCTAATTCCTGTCCATAAAGATGAACGAGTTTGAAGTAAAATTTATTCGCGTTTACTATCAATCAATGACGACAGAATAAATAATACTAATTACTTTAAAGTTTAATCATAAGTAAGATATATAGAGATAAAATTTTATTTTGAACAACTGACATTAGATTATTTAGTTAGGTATATCGAGCACATGTAAATATACGGGAAGACATTACCTTCAGTCATGAGTCAACTTCGACTAACACCTTAAAAAAACAAAAATTTAAGTAACTGGATAAAGTGAAAAATAAAATGAAAAAGAGAAACGGTGGAAAATGGGGTCCAATCATCATGATTATTATCCCCTGTTATTTGTTAAACCTAAATTTACAAGTAAATGCCATAGATTTCCTTAAACTAAACTCTTCTCTCTCCCACACACACACACACACTAAAACAAGTCATCAGACACATTCTCTCTATCATCATCACTCTTGTCTCTTTCTCTCTCACACACACACATACTCTCTCTCTCTCTGCTTCTTTTCTTTTTGAGACTTTTTAACCTTATGTTTAGCACCTTTTTCACAAGGATTCCCTGAAAAAGCCTAGGGTTTCTTCACCCAAAATAAGAAAATCACACTCATAGAGAAAAGATGAAGAAGAATCAAAATACATTCAACACACATTCACTTGTAACCCAGTTAAAGATGGAAACTTTGTGATTGTTCAAGTCAAAAAGTACCAAGTCTTGTGCTTATATTTATTGGGAGTTGCTTTTTTGGAAACGTACATGTGAAGCAAATTACTGTTTTTTTTGTCTTTTTGGTTCTTATTATCTCATGTACCAACTGCCACTCTCCATCTAATACTACTTTTTGCTGCGTGAAGATGGAATCTTGTGGATCTTGTCTTTACTTGTTTCTGCTACTTGGGTGCTTGGATTTAATGAATTTATGATCTGGGCTTTCTTCTATATGCCTCAATTAGAGAGCTGATCCTGTAGTTAGCAGATATGTTTGTTATTAATGCTATGATTTCACAGGTTTGGTCATATGAGTTGTTCTCATATCAAAATGATGGTTACCAATAGCTGGTGTTTGGAACATTTTGAAAATTCGGGGTTTTTGGGTATTGTAGTTTTTCAGTTAGCTGTGTGTATATTAATTTAGTAATGGAGGACATTGGGTTATTTAAACAAGCTTGGATGTGGTTGCAATCAAAAAAGGATTGTTACTCTGTTGTGAGGACAGCTGCTGGCTGTTTTAGGGATAAAATTGCAATTTTTATTGAGCGGCATTGGCCAATTGTTTGCTGTGGATGTGCAAAACTAGGAAAAGGGCTCTTTATCTTGTTCAGATACTGGAAAGATTGTTTAGTACGGGGATGTCGATCGTTTGTTGGGCTTGGATCCGCCGCATTGCTAGTTATTATGTGGAGCTGTTTTCTAAGTTTAACATCGATGTCATGTCTGGTCTACGTGCTCCTTAGTATGGTATGGTTCTATTCCATTTCTGTTTGTGATTTTGCTAGAAGCTTTCTTTATCTGTAGCTTTCTACTTTTTTTGTCTGATTTGTGAGAATTGGCAGGATCTGCTACCTCTTCATTAATTGGTCGATCAATCAGCTTGATTCTGGTTTTATTGCATATGCATTGTACTTGTTAAGGCATTTAATGGCATACTAAATAAGATTTGAACATATCAACTGGTTTGTTGTTTAAATTAATGCTGCAGTAGTGTCCAAAAGTGCTTGTGTAGGGACTTTGCTCACAAGTATCTTTCGCAGGGGATTCTATGAGCAAGTACTACAGTTTTTGGTCCTTGTGATGATTTTTTCATACCTGTCATGCTTATTAAGTTCACTTTTTCTTATTGTCACATGAGAGACTATATGTTGCTTGACGATGTTCAAGATTATTATATTGTAGTATTACTTAGAAATCCAACTCCTTGAAGGTTGTATTAGACATAAAGCAAGTACCACTCTTTTCCTGTGTTTAGGGACATACAGATGTCCATGCCAATTGAATGGAGTATATTTAAAATTCAAAATTTTCCGTATTTATAATTTATAGTTCAATTAGAGTGCTTGAACTTCAACTTCATCTCTAGTTCTTGAATGAGAAAGGAAAGATATAGATGGTTACTGGAAATGGTCTCTTCTAGCTTCTTTTTTAGTCTTGTGCCACTACTACTCATTGGCCTTCCCTTTTCGCGAAAAAATACAGTATGCTATTCCACTTGTTTCATTTCCCTTTTCAATAATGAGGTGCTGATGATATCTGATACTTATTTGCTTTTCAGGGTGCTGCAGGTGCTGCTGTTCAGTATTTGGGTTGCACTCCTGGGCTTTTCATTGTGGGGCTCTTTGCTATTCTAGTTTTGTGGATCTATGCCAATTTTTGGATTACTGGTGTATTGTTTATAGTTGGAGGTTAGTTTGTTCCATCTAATGCAACTAGTTTGACCAAATTGCTTAACTTCATGTGCATGTTTTCTTTTCATTCATGGGTCAAACCATTCTTATTCAGTAAAAAATGAGACCTAATAAATGGACATGCGACTAGATAGTGTGATATCACTTGAAGGGTTACATTATTGCTTGCTTGAATCTCTTCATTACTTGAGATTTTATTAAATCTTATACGCAACCCAAAGTAAATATAGCTTTATTTTATTTGCTCTACAACATTCCCCATGAAGACGAAAACTTGGCAAGACATTTGTCTACTATTATCCTTGGGGTTAGGCGGGCAATAAAATTTAGATGGATTACATTGCATGAAAACTAGCGGTTAATTTTGGACATTCAATTGTATTATCCCTGCTCATCCAGCTGGATTCGGCTGCAGATATAGGATCTGGACTATTTGATGTGTGGACTGGATGGATGTTGTTTGTTTGGACTTTGGAATTTTCCTGTCCTGGGAGCACATGTAACTTAAAAAATTTAAATTAAGACAGAAAAGAGATACTATGGAGTAATCCTACTCTTTGAACTTCTTTTCATGTTCCTTATGGTATTGCTTCGATATGCTAAATTTCGAAAGTTATTTACTTTTCCATGGGAAAATTTGTATGTATGATATACCGTATTTTCAGATGTTATGCAACCTTTGATCCTTATTTTTGTGGCTTTGTAGGTTATCTATTTTCATTAAACCATGCAAGACTTGTGGTACTTATGGCTACCATATATGCTATGTATTGTGTAAAAGTTCGAGTTGGATATCTTGGAGTTGGTCTCTCAATAAACCTCGCGTTCCTCTCCAATGACTTAATGAACTACTTACTCCAGTGGTGTGACAATTTGAGTGAACGCACGCACGTTGAAGATTATAAAGAGTCTGAATCGTTTACTGAGGATGACTTCTCCACAGATTATGAATCATCTGTTCCTGTGGATGAACCTGAAAAGGTTCACGCTTGCAAAAGCAAAACATTCAGCGACGCTGCTTCTACTTCATCAGTTGTTACCAAACTGAAAGAACCCCCTGTTAAGCAAGTAATTAGAGAAGATGGAAATTCGCTTATTGAGATGAAGCGGATACTAGATAGTGCAGATCATTATGAAGCACTAGGGGTTTCTCGGCAAAAGAAAATTGATACTGTGCTGTTGAAAAAAGAATATCGGAAAAAGGTGTGTTATTTTTTTCACACACTATCTATTATCTTTCTGTTCATTCCTTCACTTAGAAATCTTAGCTGCCTCTCCATTAGAGTGACTGGTACTTGGTTGCTAAATGTAGTTGATTCGGCCTTGATGCCTACAGAAGAGGTCAATGCTGTTCAATGACAGCTATTATCAATTGGGAAAACTTCCAGTGGGATCTAAAACTGCTAGAGCAGACTCCTCTTCTTTCCTTTAGTGTTATTCCCCCGAATTTAAGAACTATAACACTTTTTTAGCGAAATCTTCAAACTATTATCTCTTTATATTACTGATAATAATAAAATTGTCATCTGCCTTGTATTGTTGCGAGCTGTTTTATGCAAATAGACATGAGCAACTGAAGTCAGGCAAATAAGGACCTGGTCATGACTCCTTTTTTTTTTTTTTTTTTTTTTTTTTTTTTTTTTTTTTTGCAGACAATATATTTGTTTTGGTTTAATATACATTTATGACTAGTAACTTAGTGCCCTCCCCACAGTGTGAGATAAAACTGGGTATGTTGTTGTTGTTGTAACTTAGTGGAAGAAGGCAGATGAGGATGCGTGTGTGCAAATGTATTCTCTCACAGATATACTGATGTAACTAATCTATACATTATTAACTTATTGTCAGTGGGAAGTCACGTCTAATCATAATTTTTTTTTTCCTTGTTTCCTTCAGTTTGTCTTGCAAAGGTACAATTTCTCGGTTAGAATGTTATCAAGATTAATCTACCTTCTAGCAAGTCAAAATGTTGCCAGATAGGCTTAAGCTTTGCTAGACATCCAGGCAAAAATTTAATATTATCTTCTTTGTGTGAGAGGTATTTAAAGCCAAGTGATGAGTGCGAATTACCTCACTTGTGGGGTTTTACTGGGTTATTGTTGTTGTTGATGAGTGCAAGAGACATCTACAGGAGTTCCATATCCAAATGACCTTATAACGAATTACAATGTATCATATTGATGTTGGTTGCTCATGCCGTCTTTTCTGATCTCGTTACATGTCAGATTGATACTAACTCGGGGTTCTGGAAACAGTGTATACAATGATATGAACAGAGATTTTAAACCTTCTAATTAGTTTGATGGATTTGAACTAGGCATCAAAATGTCTATGACATTCTTTGGCGCAAAATATTAAAATCTCATGTTTGATCTGATGATGTCATTTACCTTCAGTTTGATGTTAATTTTATATACATGTAATGCTTCAGGCAATGCTTGTGCACCCGGACAAAAACATGGGAAGTTCACTTGCCAGTGAATCATTTAAGAAACTTCAATGTGCATATGAGGTGATTACTGTTTTAAAATTTGATTTATCTGGTAATTGTTATTATCAAAGTATTGTTGCTTCGTATTTGTTTGAGATGCAAACTGACCGTTATGGTTTTCTGATACTTTCATTTGTTTTCAGGTTCTTTCTGATGCTGTCAAGAAGCGAGACTATGATGAGCAACTCAGAAAGGAAGAGTCTAAGAGTGTAATGCAAAGATCAGCTAGCACTTCTAACCAGGTACAACTATCTGACTGAACTTTATTTACCTCCGGTGACTCAGGCACTAGTAGGCCGCATAACAATTTTACTAATGCTTGAACATAATACAACATCTTATCCTGCAAATAAAATTATTAACGCGGGAAAGGTTTCAATGAACTAGTGTTATCAGTTTAACTGGTAAAGAGTAGATTCAATGTCTGCACCGTCCTTCGTTGAACCACCGTTTTCTTGCTATGATGACACCAAATTATATCATGCGATACTTGTTGCCCAACCAAAAAGATCCACGTTAAAGCATTTAAGATGAAACGACAATTTCTGGGCGTATGCAGAAATTGTGAGATACCCTGGAATTATCGGAAGAAAGAATTTTTACTGGAATAAGAAGTTTCACGGTACGAGTCTAAGACTGATATATGAAACTTGGATTTTAGTTAAGAGCCTGTTCAGCTTTGTAATGTTTACCCAGGGAACTTGATGCAAATAGTTACGGATCGATCTTTAAAAAACAAAGGATATCTTTCTTGCAAGCCACCAGTTCTATGTCGATTTCTTTCATGTGATAAATAAGCTGCCAAAGTTTATCTTCAGATCCTTTAACAGGGAGAATATATTTCAAAATGACTCATTTGGTATGGTGCAGGAGTCCTCTAACTACTGCGCAGAAGAGTCGAGGCGTATCCATTGCACAAAATGTGGCAACTCGCACATTTGGATCTGCACCAATCGGACAAAGGCCAAGGCAAGATGGTGCCAGGTTGGTCATCCTCGGAATTGTCTGTTATGATTGCTGTTCCTCTCTTTCACTTGTTCAAATATTAAAGAAAGCTATTGGTGTTCAGGATTGTTGTCAATATCATCAAGCCAAAGATGGAGATGGATGGGTAGAATACAAAGGATCATTGGTTTTTAATCGACCTCAAAAGGTATTAATTTTCAGAGTAATTTCTTTGTGCTGAAGGATTGATGCAAATTAGTGTTCCATTTGGTTCTTTTACTAGTTCAGTTGATACTATCATTTAGGAAGAAATTATCATTTCCTGAATATCTTGGAAGTATATTTTTTAATTATGGGTTCTCAAAGCAAGGTGAAAATCTTTATGGCATCTTATACTTGATCATTATTTGTCTAGTTAGATTTTCAATAGATAATATAGGAATCAATTTATCAAAAAATACTTAAACCATTCAAATTCCTTGGGTACTCATGTACTTAATTTTCACCTCACCTTTATTACAAAGCTGTGAATTGTTAATGTTGCAAATAAGTAAATCCATCATCTGTCTGGAATTTTCTTCTGGTTTGGTCATTCTTAATCTTTGTCTGCAACTTTCCTCTGGTTTGGTCTATCTTAACATGTTTTTTGTATCAAGCTATGATATACAGGGGTGTTTGGTGTTTTTAACTGTTTATGAGTTGTGTTTTCATATGCCTAGAGGATTTCAATCAAACTGTTAGAACTCTGGCCAATTAGTATGCCAGAACTAGACAAAGGTCAAATCCAAAGATTTGAAGTCGGCATTTAGCGGCACGTTCATAGTGGTTTCTCTTCCTTTAGTATGTAATTTTTCTTATGATAACCACATTTTCACCTCATGCTTTTTATATTTTTTCACATTTTTCTGTTCTCTATGTGTACCAATAAAATGCTCATTCTTCATATGTTCCGTATTTACTTGTCATTCAGGCGGAGATACCTCGTGCATTCGTCTGTGCCGAGGGCAAGATATTCGATGTGTCAGAATGGGCCATATGTCAGGTCAGTGTTCTCTGTTATTACTCGTACAAAGTCAGATATAGATTTAAACTTATCTGTAGGATGCTTCAATTGGCTCTTTTTGTCTGTTTTGCATCACTGCTTTCATGACATCTTCATTGAGTAAATTCCTTGGATGGTCACCCAACTTATGGAGATATCTCAGCATACTCATTTTTGTTCCTCTCAGGACAACAAAGTCCCCAACTATTGCCAATTGACTTAAAAAATAAATACCACAGATTTACACACAATGTTATATTAAAACTTAATTTTTTTAATAATAAAACTCATTTAATTCATGATCTTTATATCCATTTTTCACTAGATTGATAACTGAGAGTACTTTTATGAAGTAAACTATTCCTACTATATTTATTTAGACCACTAAATTATAAGAAAAATGATTAAGGATCCTAGAATTTGCACAACTGATAAGTTAGCTTGGATCATTATGCCTTAAGATGTTGCATATAAACTGTCAATCAAGTATTGTTGCTGTTATATGCCAAAAGTTGGTCCAATGAATTGAACCTCCAGTATTTTTAGAATCTCTCATGATATATGCTAATTTAAATAAAACGCGTCACAAAGAAACAGTCATGCAAACTTAAGATGGAGATGTTTAATACCAACTCTGGTAACAACCTTTTTATTGCTTACTAAGGTCAACCACTCCTTCCACGCCAAAAGACACATTCACAAAACCATGGCAAGCTTTACCAATTCTTTCCACTATGGAGCTCATGTTTGTTTCTCATTGTGGAATTTATAACACTTGTGAAAAAGAAAGAATGAGGTAGGACCAATATCTGCTAATTTAAACTCTCATAGATATAAGGATCATGGATTAAATGAGTTTATTATTAAAAAATAGAATTTTAATATGATATGGCATGTCAAATGTGTGATATTTATTTTCTAAGTCAAATAGCAATAGATGGGTGATTCTTGTTGTCTTAAAAGAAACAAAAGTGACTGGTGGGATATCTCCTTAAGTTGGGTGACCATCCAGGGAATTTACTCCATCTTCATTCTAAACATCATTGTCATCGTTTTCTATGTATGTTGATAAATGTTTTTTTTTTGGGGGGAGTGACACGAAGCTGGTGGATAAGAAATTGATTGTTCAACCTGTTGAAAAAATAAAATATCAAATATGTTTGGCTTCCGTGTTGTGGTCTCTGTGCAACTTATTTTGCAACTAGTAGTCATTGCTCCTGTGGAAGTAATAGAATAATCCCAGCATCAAAACTATTGTTCTGAAAAAAGAAAAGCTATTATTGTGAAAAAAGATTGAAAAATGACGTTTTCTGCTAGTACTTGTGTTGACCAATCTCCTCTGTGCAGGGTATGGCCTGTAGACCGAATACCCATAGGCCGAGTTTCCATGTAAACATGGTTGGATTAGAGAAATCAACCCAGAGATCCAATTCAAGCAGGTATCCCTGGGAGTTGGATGCTGAGATGACAGATGAAGATGAAGAATTCGAGCTGTGGCTCCAACAAGCTCTAGCTTCTGGACTTTTTTGCGAAACTCCAAAGCGCAGAAAGACTTGGAGTCCTTTCAAGTTGAATCAGATGAAAGGAAAGAAGCAATGGAGAAGGTCTTCATAAGCACATGCATCAAAATTGGCTATGAATTTGTGCATGCCACTCTTTTGATGGATCAACATCCACTGCCCCTAAAATCAGGACAAAACAAAAAATGAGGATAATAACACACGAAGCGATATCTTTAAGGTTTCCTTATGCATCACTCGAAGATGACTGAGCTTCTCATCAAGGGAGAAGCCATACGTTGGCTTGGCTAAGGAAGTAAAAATGTGCTGGTTTAGCTGATCCATTTGTAAATAGCATCCTAATTATGTGGCAGTGCATTTATCTATTGCGATGCTCGGTTTTTTATCAAGATCCTTTTGGATTGAGTAGGAGGTACAAAACTGAGTAAATCTTTGTACATCTGATGATCCTGCCTGGATTTGTACTATTTTAGGTGCAATAAATTTCAGAGAAGATATTGTACTTTTTATGCAATTGTAGGACAATTCATATTATTGATTCCACTGCATTATCCACATATTTAGAAGCGAGATGTACATTTTTTTCCTGCCACTGCACATAGTTAGATCAGGATCATCTTCCAACAAAACTGAAATAATAGATCATGTTAACTCTAATCCTAGTTTCATTAGTTGCAAGCAGAAAGCAGTGTATTTTGTTACATTGTTCAAACTATATTCTAGTATTGAAGTGTGATATGCTATTTGGTAACCAGGAGTGTCTTTTTCTTAGTGTGTACTTGAGAGAAGTTAAAAATTCTTTGCACAAGATCAAAGATAATCAAAAAATTATCATCATTCAGCAAACTCCAAGTATCATAGTTGACATTTTCAGACCCAAGAGAACAGTATTGGTTCCCCCCCCCNTGAAGTGTGATATGCTATTTGGTAACTAGCAGTGTCTTTTTCTTAGTGTGTAATTGAGAGAAGTAAAAAATTCTTTGCACAAGATCAGAGATAATCAAAAAATTAATATCATTCAGCAAAGTCCAAGTATCATAGTTGACATTTTCAGACCCAAGAGAAGAGAATTCGTCCCCCCACATCCTTCCCCTTAATTTCTTTGGCTCTTTCTGTTACAGATCACCTTCCTCTAAATCCAGTTATAAATCTGTGGATGCCAGCAAAATCTGATATCATCTTCACTTTAGAAAAGCTGTCTTGCTTCTTAGTCTCAATATACTGGACTAAGAATTTGCTCTGTTCTTCACCATTTGTCTGCAGCACCATGATGAAGAGCATTAATAAGCAAATAAAAAGAGAGAAGCTTTTGCAATGCAAGTATCAAGGCAAAATGGCCTCGGAGCCACCTAAACTTGCACCCATTTGTCAACCGGTAAACAAACTTATAATCTTTCCCTTCTAACACCTCTACTTGAGAAAATGACTACTAATAAGCATTTTGTATTGAACATGTTCATCAATTGCTCTGACACGAATGCCATGCCATGTCACATAACGTGTTCATCAATTGCTCTGACACGAATGCCATGTCACATGCTTGATCTTTATTATATGACATGTGGAGTTTTTGGGTCCCACATTTTGAAAAAAAATAGTTTATTAGATTTTTAGCTTATTTTTCTTTCTCTTTTTTTCCACCGTAGCTCTATCGATAGTCCACCAACGAGAAGGGGAGAGGGATAGGTTTTTTCTTTTTCTTTTTCATTTATATTTTTTTTCTGAATCTAATATTTTTTAATAAAAACAATTCTATCTACGCGCTTTGACAACGTGATTTTCACTCAATGTGGCCATGTCAGCTACATCGATTTCACATAGGCACGGTCAACGGTCAAAAGTATTTATTAGTAGTTATTTTCTCAAGTAGAAGCCTTAAAATGGGAAAATTATAAGTTTATTTACCGTGTTGACAAATGGGTACAAATTTAAGTGGCCCTGAACCCATTTTGCCAAGTATCAAAGAAGACATGCTCAAAATCATGTTTACTCATATATGAGTGGTTGGTTACCTCAAATGCAAAGAAACCACCAGGTTTCAACATTGAAACAGCCCCATCACAAAGATGGATAAGATCATTCATACCACTTACTCCGCCATCCAACGCTAGTCTAGGTTCATGTCTAGCCACTTCAGCTTGTAGCCCATCAATATCTTTGTTTGGAATATATGGTGGATTACTAACCAGTCCCACAAATTCTCCTTCATCATCTTCTCTCAATGGCTCAAACCAGGATCCTTGCTTTACCAACACTTTTTCCTGCCATACACAATACAAGAAAATGTACAATTCACTAATTCTATAGAAAATTCTGAATTTTTTTTTATCAAGAAAACCCAAATTCTCATCTTTCTTCAGCCACAAAGATTTTAAGACTCACCACTTTGTTTAGACTAACCAAGTCTCAAACAAGTTTGGGACGGCTATATGAATTCCCATTGACCATGTCTACTAGTCCCTCCTTTTCAAATTAGATGAGGTTCTTTACTTTTTAGTCTGTTCCAAAATAAATGATACATTTCTAAATTTGGAAATAATTCAACTTTAAACTCTTCATTTTACCCATTTTACCCTTAATGAAAAACTTTTATAACCACATAAATGTCATGGCCCCACAAAGTTTTTACCCCTTCACCTTTTAATACCACAAGTTTCAAACGTTTTTTTTTTCTTTAACTCCGTGCCGAGTCAAACTACCTCATCTAAATTGAAAAGGATGGAGTACTATTTAGATTCATCTGAGGCCAACATCATACGTTTGCAAGACTAACTAATACTGCAAGCCTTTTAAAGTCGAAATTGATTCAATTAGCTTTAACGTCAAACAAGAAGCATATTAAGAGCCAGTAAACAAAACAGAACAAAACACTAACCTCCAACTAGAGATTTTAAGAATCACCATTTTTGCTAGACTAACCACAACAACTAGTCCTTAGTCCCAAACAAGTTAGGGTCGGCTATATGAATTCCCACTGACCATGTTTATTATACTACTTAGATTCATCTGAGGCCAACGTCATACATTTGCAAGACTAACCAATACTGCACACTTATAAAAGTCGAAATTGATTCAGTTAGCTTTAAAGATCAACCAACTTGAGAAATTCGACTTAAAAGTCTCAAACAAAAAGAGCCAATAAACAAAATTGAAGAAAACACTAACCTCCAAACCATACCTCTGCACATTATAAGATGCAACAGCAGCAGCAACAGGGCTTATGTCAGTAGCAACAACTCTACCAGAATTACTCAAAATCCTTGCAATCCCAATAGCAAGTGCACCACTTCCAGTCCCTAAATCAGCCCATAGGCCTTCCCTTAACTCCTCATTCTCCTTAATAGAATCTTCTACAAGGTCCACAATCAGCTCGGTCTCAGGCCTTGGTATTAAAACCCCTTCTTCTACACTCAAAACCAAATCCCTCCAATGCTCACAACCCACCACATACTGAAACGGCCTTCTTTCTTCTACCCTTTGTTTCCACAACGTATATAGTTCTTCTAAAGATGTCCTGATTGAAACTGGGGTGGCATTATCGTTATAATTGTTGTGGGTTTGGTGTGAGAGTGATTTGGGTTGTTCGAGTGCATCTTCAACGAGCCAATTTAGCTCTCGGAGCAACAGGTCGGAGTCTGGACCATTGTCTAGGTCCAAGAAAGTGGAACCCACAGAAGAAGCTAGGGATTTAGCCCAAAGGTGCCATTTCTTGAGGTCTGATAAGGTTGTTTTGAAGATAGGTGGCTTTAGAAATAGCGGTGTTTGAGGTTTGACTGAGGTTGCTAGACAAACAGCGCAACATGAGATGGGTCGAATGAAGCTCAACCTCATCTCTCCCAACTCTCTCGCCAGTCGCAACTCCGTACCTTCTTGTGGATATTTTAACACCAGTCCGACTCCCCAATAATAAGATCATAACTAATTAAAAATGAGTTTCAAAGAATCTGCAATATTAAACAATCTATTATCATTATATAAAGGGATAATAATCAAATTTGCCTCTATTGTTCGATTTTAGATTAAATATAGCTCCGTTAATCTATGGGCTTTGTACACGGTTGAAACCAGGGCCCACCCAATTTTACTATTTGACCGAGACTAGAGTTGCATCGAAGGTCGACTCCTTAGTGGATCAAACCAAAGCACGAGGACAAGGTACCGAGTTTGGGAATTGAGGTACCTGTCGAAATCAAGGCCAGTGGCGATCGAGACCAAATGAGATAGACATCGAGCAAAATCGGAGATAACACAATAACAAAAATGCGAGATATCTGTGACTAGTCGAAGATCATGGCATTAATCTCGGAACGGATCAAATCAGGAACAATTGATCAGCTAATCATGGGATTTCCTTATGTAATTAGAGTTATACCATAAGTAGAATTCCTCTACTATATAAAGGGAGGGGGGGTTTAATCATTTGTAAGACACATCGTTCACACATATCAAAGCAATATAACATTTTTTCTCCAGCTTATATTCTTGTTCGTCAGCTTGCTTATTTCTTAACTATTTTAGCATTAATCAATTCGAGGGCACTCTAGCTCGAGGGCTGAATTACGTTACAACACTGGTTTGTTTTGTCTTATTGTTGATTTCTATTACTAATCTTCATATTTATCAATTGGTATTAGGTGAAATCACGTGTCCTTAAAACCACATTATATGTTTAATTGTTATCCAATTTTAAGGGTAAACAGTTTGGCGCCCACGGTGGGGCTAAGGATAATAGTGATTGCTTGGTATTAATTCTCATAACACACACTGCTTTACGCTTGTTCTCGTAAGTGTCTTTGATTTCAAGAATCAACATGTCAAACTCTCAAGTAGCACCTACTCACACAAACAACGACCTTGGTCTTCATGGAGAGAACGAAAACATAGCCGCCCTGAAAAACGGAGTACCTCCAGTCAATCCCGATGGACTACCGGTCATAGACCCAGTCGATGTCAGCTCCCACATTGCCATTAATGGGAATTTGGGCGTCGACCCTGAAAATAGCATCCGCAAAATGCTCGAGCAGCCGGTCAGAACGCACAGAGCAGCGAAGAAGGCATAATTAGCCTTCGAATGATATTCGAGATGTTGCAGAGTCAACAAGCTGCGATAGCACAACTTCAAAATCAGAATCGAGCACCAAGGAGAATTGAGCTCGAAACATCACAAGAAGTTGTTTATAGAGCCGAACCTGTACCAGAGAAACCGAACGCCAATGAATCGGGGACTGACGCCACCATTATGAAAATGCTCGAGGAGCTCCTTGGTGCTCGAATGATATTTGAGATGTTGCAGAGTCAACAAGCTGCGATAGCACAACTTCAAAATCAGAATCCAGCACCAAGGAGAATTGAGCTCGAAACATCATAAGAAGTTGTTCATAGAGCCGAACCTGTACCAGAGAAACCGGACGCCAATGAATCGGGGACTGAGGCCATCATTATGAAAATGCTCGAGGAGCTCACTGAATGGATTGAATCAGGTGAAAAGAAAATCGAGGCTAATGACAAAAAGGTCGAAACATACAACTCCCGGGTTGACCAAA